ACCTTTGGGATGCCAAGGATCCAACCCAGGTCTGCTGTGTGCAAGGCAAGGGCCCTACCCACTGTACTATCTCTCTGACCCGCAGCTACATTTTTTGGTGCTACACATCAAGCCATCAAATCCTCTGGGAATGCTGACTCACAACCTTGCCAGTTGTATATGGCGAAGGCCTTCCAAAGCTGCCCTACATTTCTGACTCTGGGTCACTCAGCAGCCACTGTTGTTGGGAGAAAAAGGTGTAACACATAATGTATTAAAATTCTATCAGTTGACAAAGGTCAGCTTGATATTCTTAGACCCATCTCCTCTAGTACTCCAAATTGCTTAGCAGTCATCTGGGTAGCTCTTTGGGGGTTTGTTTGTTTGTTTGTTTTGGCTTTTGGGGTCACTTTCAGTGATACTCAGGGATTACTCCTGGTTCTGCACTCAGGAATTACTCCTGGCAGTGTTTGGGATGCCAGGGATTGAACCCATGTTGGCTGTGTGCAAGGCAAATGCCCTGTCTACTCTACTATCACTCAGGCCCTACTCTTTGGAAATACAGGTTCCCAGGTCCCATTCTTTCATACTTTTCTCTCTCTATTCCCTTCCTCTCTCTTCCTCTTTCCCTTCCTCTCTTCCTTTCTCTCTTATCCCCTCTCTCCCTCTCTCTTCTCTCTTCCCCTCACTTTTTTGTCTCTCTAGTATATCATATATATTCTTAGTGATAATAAGTTCTAAGGAACAAACAATGGCAAAAAATAGGGATGAAAATGGAAGAATTTTTCTGAGGAGGTAACATTCAGTCTGCTTACTGTTCATAATAGCCAGAATCTGGAAACAACCCAAGTTCCCAGAAACTGACGACTGGTTAAAGAAACTTTGGTATATCTACACAATGGAATACTATGCAGCTGTTAGGAAAGAGTAAGTCATGAAATTTGCCTGTAAGAGGATGGTCATGGAGGGTATCATGCTAAGTGAAATGAGTCAGAAACAGAGGGACAGACATGAATGACTGCACTCATTTGTGGAATATAAAATAACATAATATGAGATTGACACCCAAGGACAGTAGAGACAAGGGCCAGGAATATTGCTCCATGGTTGGAAGCCTGCTTCATGAGCTGGGGAGAAGGCAGCTGGAATAGAGAAGGGATCACTAAGTCAGTGATGGTTGGGGGAATCATTCGCAATAGGAGATGTATCCTGATAATAGATAAAGGACAAAATGTGATAGCCTCTCAGTATCTGTATTGCAAACCATAATGGCCAAAAGTAGAGAGAGAGTATGGGGGAAACTGTCTGCCATAGAGGCAGGGGGATAGGTGGGGGGTGGATACTGGGGATATTAGTGGTGGAAAATGCACTGGTGGAGGGAATGGGTGTTTGATCATTGTGTGACTGAAACTCAAACATGAAAGCCCTGTAACTGTATCTTACAGTGAAGGTAAAGGTAAAGGCCCTCCCATTGTTCATCAATTTGCTCGAGCGGACCCAGTAACATCTCCATTGGATATTTTGTTGTTACTGTGTCTGGCATATCGAATACGTCACGGGGAGCTTGCCAGGCTCTGCCGTGCGGGCGAGATACTCTCGGTAGCTTGCCGGGCTCTCCGAGAGGGGTGGAGAAATCGAACTCGGGTTGGCCATGTTGGCCGTTTGTAAGGCAACCGCCCTACCGCTGTGCTATCGCTCCATCTCACAGTGATTCAATTAAAAAAAATTTTTTTAAAGAAATCAAAAGCATTCAGTCTACTGTAAGAAATTTTCGGGGAAGAACATTTCAGGCAGGAAATAGCATGATATGTTTACAGAATTAAAAGCTAAACCAGTATGAGTGGAACATGGAGAGTGATTAAGGAAGAGATAGATGCTCTGGAAGGGAGGCGCCTTGGGATCACATGATAGAGGCTTTGTAGGCAGGCAGTTTAGGTGCTTACCTGGTGTTTATGTTTTCCTGAGAATGCTGACCACTATGTGGAGAATATTGTGCACCAGACCAAAGTAGAAGCTGTGAGAGCTAAACAAGACTAGATTGTTCTTTGATGGTGAAAGGACAGTGTCAGGGTATATATCTATATCTATGTGTGTGTGTGTGTGTGTGTGTGTGTGTATGAACAATGAACAACGGGAGGACAGTGACAGTGATATATATCACTGATTGTTGTTCATTGATTTGCTTGAGCAGGCTCAGTAACATTGTGAGACTTGTTACTGTGTTTGGCATATTGAATACGTCACAGGTAGCTTGCCAGGCTTTGCCATGCGGGCAAAATACTCTCAGTAGCTTGCCAGGCTCTCCGAGAGGGGAGGAGGAATCAAACTCGGATCGGCTGTGTTGGCTGCGTGCAAGGCGTGCAAGCCACTGTGCTATCGCTCCAGCCGATCTATCATCTCTCTCTCTCTCTCTCTCTCTCTCTATATATATATATATATATATATATATATATATATAAAGAAGGTCATCAGGGAGGGGCTTGGGAGATGGCTCAAAGGGCTGAATGCATGTTTTGCATGTAGGAGGCCTGGCACTGCCCCTGAGCATTGTACTGGGAATCGCCCTAACTTCCACCAGCTCTCCAAAAAGAAACAACAGGAGGACCGGAGAGAGAGCTGAGGAGGTCAGGGATGCATGCCTCACATGTGCAAGGACCCAAATTCAATCCATGGCACCATATGGTCCTCAAGTATAGCCCTGGCAGTCTCTGACCACTGCTGAGTGTGGCCTTCCTGGCCCGCAGCACCACTAGCATTGAACCATCAGACCCACAAGGCCTGTGTTGGGAAAAGTGACCCACTGGGTCTCCTAAATACTGCTTGGGAGGCCCTCAAAGGAAAGTCAGTGGGACTTTCTGATGAGAGGGAGTGGAGAGAAGAAGAGAATGGAGACAAGAAGGATCATGACAGCGGGTTCCATAATAGGTAGTTTAGCTGTGGTTGAAAACCCCAGATGCCTCACATATTCAGGGGCTGCCCTAATGTGTTGGTGGCAAGTTGGTTATTTGTATAAGTTGGGTGGGGCCGAGCCGTAATACAGCAGGTAGCGTATTTGCCTTACATCCAGCAAACCGGGGTTAAATCCCTGACAGCACCCACAGGTCCCCCAAGCACTGCCAGGAGTGATCCCTGAGTGCCAAGGTGGGAATAAGCCCTGAGCATGGCCAGGTAGGGCCCCAAAAATGAAAAGAAAGGGGAAAAAAGAACAGAGCTTGGTGGCCATTGCTTCCCAGGCACATGCTCGGCCTGTCCCCAAGTATTGTGTGGAGCACGTTTGTTGCCTGAGCACAGGTCACCGTACCTCCCCTCTTGAGATGTGTGCTTTCAACCTTCATACTTGAGCGCTGTGATGTGTACTGGGACTCTCTCCACTCTGGAGAAGCCCTCTTTCTCGAGTGTGTCACTCTCTCTACCCTCCCCCCACCCCCACAGCCCACTCCTCAGAACTTTCAAATAAAACCTGTTTTCACTTTTAAAAAGAAAAGAAAGAACAGAGCTTGGTACATAAAAAAAAAAAAACCACTGTATCAAGACACTGTGACTATTAGTGGTCTTGTATGTGTTCAGTTACCTGCAGTGGCAGCTGTAGGTTCAGAAGGAGAAGCCAGGGCCTAGCTTCTTGGTTCAGTACACATATTTTATATTTCTTAAGTTACTTATGAACTCTTTATTTATACAGACTCTTGATAAATGATTCGCTCCTCACGGGACATGGTGTAACATGTAAATATTGCACGAAGGACAGTAAATTGATAGATGCTCTAGAGCCTAGAATTCCAGATTATTTTGACCGTACTTAACATGGTACAACTCCAGACAAAACATGGAGCCCAGATTGTGGGAGGAAGGGGTACAGGAAGAAAGATGTTATGTGGATAGATTTTAAATCTGAAAAGAAATAGCTTCCAGGACGTAACTGTATTCATGTTGTACACATGCTTAGGCCAAAGTCGGTACATACACTGCAGCAGGAGGCAGTGTCCCTCACACCAGAAGTTGGAGGTCAGGACATGCCAAGAAAAGAGAAGAAATAAAGCTAAGAATGTTGGTGTAACTCCCCCAGGTTGTCAGGTTTCTAGTGATACATCTTAAAGAAGTGTTTGAAGTGATTCTGTCTGTCAGTTTCAACTAAGCTCATTTGAAAAACTTGCTCTTTGTACTGTGTCTTTCTCATGAACCTCTGAGAGTTTAATGTGTGCAATATGTGGGGGGAAATCCTATCAGCCTCAGTTCCCGCCCCCCTGAAGTCTGAGGAGCAGATTTTAGAAGCGCGTTGTCGTTGCACCTGCAAAGATTTTGTCATTTCATTAAATGGATCAGAGACCATGCTCGATGTGTCTTGATTTCAGAAAGACAAGATTTCAGAAAGAGGTGCCAGAAATGCCAGCCTGACCTCTCCTCCCTCATGTTGACTGTCTGTTTTGTTGCACCTCTATCCAAAATAGCGTAAGGAGGACTGTTCTTCATTACCAGGGAATGTGAGTCATTCCCAGACTTGTGTGATTGGGATTCCAAAGCGTTGCTGTATCCGATGGTCTTATTAAATCCAAGTGTCAGTGCAGCCTTTCAGACTGTAGGGGAGAGCTCTGTTACAGCTGGTGACCTGATTCTAGTTACCACACAGAGAAGCTGGCAGTAGTACTGACCCCCTCTGAGCACTCACAATCCCTCATGGATGGTTGTTGCCAACTGTTCCCAGATTTGGGAGTTTCCTGGTTCACTTCGTGGACTTCGTACATTTCAGCTCCCTGTTTGTGTCCTCCTTGGGATCTGAATACTCTAGGGGAAAACATTCAGTGTCGGCAGAGAAGTTGGTGCCAAGCTGTAGGCTCGCATTTGGAGGGTCCCCCTTTCAGCTTTACTCAGCCCTCGCGACGTTAATGGCCCTGTGTCCAGGATCTTGCAAGATACTCTCCATCTTTAGCTTGGTCCAACCAAAACAAATGAAACATCAACCAGAGAAGGAGAGAATTATAGATGATGCCAGAAAATTAGTTTGCACTCTCTATTCTTTCTCCTAGAATGCTTCACAGCCAATGGTGCAGATTACAGAGGAACGCAGAACTGGACAGCACTCCAAGGAGGAAAGCCATGCCTGTTCTGGAACGAGACTTTCCAGCACCCCTACAACACTCTGAAATACCCCAATGGCGAGGGAGGCCTTGGCGAGCATAACTATTGCAGGTAAGATGGGGCTGCTTGGAACCGAAATACATCTTTCGGGGGGGGGGCTGGGGAAAGATATCAAAGGACTGGAGTATGTACTAGGAGACCTGTGTTCTGAGTTTGCTTCCTGTTACTGAACTGTCCCCCAAGCACTGGCAGCAGCGACCCCAGGTCAAAACTAACAGAGTAATTTCTGGTCTCCTCTTCCAGTCCATCCAGCCTTGCCTACAATTGGGGAACGCTTCTTTGTCGCCCCTTGGCCATCTCGGAAGGCCTTTCTTGCTACTATTTTAAAGATCTTGGGGCTGGAGAGATAGCTCAGAGGTTAGGGGTACCGGGTTTTATATTTGGTTTTTGTGGTATTGGGGAATAAACCCAGGGCCCCACACATAGAAGATAAGTGTTCTGCTATTCAGCCATATTCTTGGGGTGCAGAGCTTTTATGTACAGTGACCCAAGTTCAGTCCCCGTTCTGTGTGGTCCCTGAACACTGCCAGGTACATCTCTGGAGGCCCCTCTGCAGTCCTTTGTTTGGCTCCCCTTGTTTCCACTGGCCCTAAGCAGCACCACATTGCCAGATTCTAGCACTGAATCATCTAGTGGGGTTGGCTGAGGATTAGGGGAGTGGCCCTTGGGTCTCTGAACACTGCTCAGAAGACACTCCCACTCCCCAATGAAAGTAAAACTTTCTTCCACTCCTTATATACAGATACCATGTAGTCCACCCCTCTCTTCTTTCTTGGGGGGGAGGGGGTGTTGTCTCCCAATGGGTGCTCAGGAGGCCCTACCTGTGATTCTTGACCGACTGGGCTGGTGGTTCAATACAAGGGCCCGCGGATGCTGTGATTCTCAGGCCCTGTGGTGCGGGCGCCGAGCTCTAGGGTCCTCCAAGACTACATACAGTGTTGCTCAAGGGCCTCCAGGACTCTAGTGATGTTTCTGGAACCGTGTGGTGGCAGGGATCAAACCCAGGACAGTGCATGTTAGGCATGTGACCTAACTGCTGTACTCTCTCTTAGACCCTCTACCATTCTTTTTAGCGTGGGTTGCTTGGTTCCTAGTTTCCTGAGCTCTGCTTTACCCTCTGGTCACTCACATGTCTTTTGGGGAGGGTTTCCTTAGTTGGCACTGCCACTGGTGGACAATAGGCAGAGAGCAAAGCTTCTTAAGTGTAGTGAAGCACCATCTGTAGTCCAAACCTTCCTCTGCTCTGAGCGAAGGACATTGCCTGCAATACCCCATGCCCTGTCAGCCCAGGATAACCTTGCCGTGGGGGCAGCCAGCTTTGAGTTTCTTCCCTTCAATAGGCTGAAATGTTTCGTGGCTCTTTACCTCGAGCAGGGACTCTGACTCTGAGATCCATGGTACTTCAAACGCGTGCCACAGTTCTGGGGTAGATGATCCATGACCTAGATGCTCAAGTTTTCTATGGTCCAAAGCAAGTTTGGAGGGACAGTAAAGATTCTAAGCACTTTGGGTTTTAGCTATTTATATCCAGGTTCCTGGCAACATGATTCATGGTTCAGCAATGTGTTGAGTTTAATTATTATTAAGACAGGTGCAAAGGCGGCCTCTTGAGCCATTGGGGCTGAGGAAAGTGATTGCTGTGCCTCACTTGGAACTAGACACTGTCCCCGAGTCTTGTACCAGTGTTTTGGAATCTTACCCTTGGCGCTGTTAACCAGTTGAGCCAGTGTATTTCATGTGTGTTGTGTGGACCACACTGTTGACCGTCTGCTCCCTCTCTGCCCACTACGTACCTTCGCTGACACTCTCGGACGCTGTGGTTGTCTTGAAATCTCTCATTCTCTGGTCCACTTTGTCTTCACTCCAGGTTCTTTCCCTCACCTTCTACCCTAATTTGTACCCACTGGCCACTCCTTTGCCATTGCTGTGGAATTATTTTTCACTTTGCTATTATTTAAAATGCTAAAAGTCTTTTAAAAATACACAAATACCACAGATCTATTGTTTAAAGTCTCTGTTTTACTTCTCCCTCCCTCCCTAACCCTCCCAGCCAAATCTCATTTCCCAGACATGGCACTTTATATGTATGCTCTGTCAAAGGTTGCTGTCTTTTGTCTTTTATTGTTAAATTATGCATGTTCATTAAACAATTCTCTTGTGCTTTGTGTTCTGCTGTGCCCCTCCCACTCCAGCATGGCCCCGCCTCCACCATTCTTTCTGTTTTGTTTTCAAATATATACACGTAGGGGCCAGAGAAATAGTACCGGGGCTAAGATGCTTGCCTTATACGTTTCCCACCACAGTTTGATCCCTGCTCTGCATAATTGATCCCCTGAACACAGCCAGAGGTGACCCCTAAACACAAGCCGGGAGTAGACTCCCAGCATGATAAGGCCTAAATCACTCCCTCCCCCGAAAAAAACCAAAACAGATTTATTGTTTTGCTGGAGCGATAGCACAGAGGGTAGGGCGTTTGCCTGGCAAGCAGCCAACATGGCCGACCCGAGTTCGATTCCTCCGCCCCTCTCGGAGAGCCCAGCAAGCTACCGAGAGTATCTCGCCCACATGGCAGAGCCTGGCAAGCTCCCCGTGACGTATTCGATATGCCAGACACAGTAACAAAGTTTCACGATGGAGATGTTACTGGGCCTGCTGGAGCAAATTGATGAACAACGGGAGGACAGTGACAGTGAATTATTTGTAATATTTTTTTGTATGAATAAAAAAGTCAACCCTTTCCCATTCTGGTTTATTTTCCCCCCTTACTATTTAATATAAAGAAATAATTGGGGGCTGGAGCAATAGTACAGTAGGTAGGGCATTTGTCTTGCACACAGCCGACTCAGGTTCGAGTCCCAGCATCCCATAGGGTTCCCCAAGCACTGCCAGGGGTAATTCCTGAATCAAGAGCTAGGAGTAGCCCCTGAGCATTGCTGGGTGTGACCCAAAAGCAAAAAAATAAAAAAAAATGCCATTTGCATCATTTGAAAAAAAAGAAGAAATAATTGGACTGTTTTGAGAAGAGTGTTTAAGAAACCAGTGTTCTTTTTTACATGCCTTAAACTTGGTTTTTGTTATAATAATGTATATGATTGGGATAGGCCTCTAACCATGTCTGGTTCTATGGCTTCTGATTTTCATGACATTTTGGAAAGATATTTATACTGATTCCATAAAACTCTTCACCAGTGTTTAAAAAAAAAAGAAGAAGAAGAAAAGAAACCAGTGTTCCTTTTTTATTTTTATGCAGTTACTTAGCTTCTTTTTTGTTGGTTTTGTTTTGTTTTGGGGGTGATACCCAGTAGTTCCGATGGTGGGGGAGGCGCTTTAAGCTCAGTGTGGAGCTCAGTTCCCAAGATCAAGCCAGGGGCTTCAGCAGGCAGCACATGCAGTCTAGCCCTTTGAGCCGTTTCCTTTATCCTCACTTAATTTTTTGTTCTAAACTGTCTCTAGGAGTGGGCTTTTGGCTATATTTTACTTTTTCATCTTTGTCTCAAGTTTTTTTTAGAAGAGCCCTGTTTTTAAGTCTGGCTCCAATTGAAGTCTTTATTCCCAACGAGATTTAATTTATATATTTTTTTAAAAAGTCTTTTCTTAGAGATAAGTGTTTCATTCTACTCATAGGCTCCCAGAAATATATCAGTAAATACCCATTAAGAGACAGGGAGAGCCGGGGGGGTCGGGGGGAGCACGTTCCTCGTGAAACCTGACTGGCTAGAACCCTTTCCTTTGATTTAATGGAATGTACCAGACCTGAACTACCAGTTTATACTTCAAAACAGGGAGACTGAAATTGTTGATTATTATCACATCAGAGAATCTGGGTCTTTTGTTTTGGCACCACAGAGAAGACAAAGATGAATTTGCTTGTTTTCTATGAACTATTCTTTGACTTTTCAGAATGGTTTTGACGATGATAATAAACAGTTGTTTTCTAAGGCCTTTCCCAAGTACTACATCAAAGCTGAACACTGAATAGAGGCAGGAAAATGACAATGAAATACTGTCTAAAGAAGGGCTTTGTACGAGTTCCCTCCTTTGATTTTTCCAGCTGCCACCCGACACCGTGTTTGTCTTGTGCGTGTTTCCAGACCCATCACATTTGAGATGTCTGAGAGACAGCGGCTGATGGGAACACACTTCTCTGGGCGGACAGAGCTGGATTAGAGGGCAAGACCAGGAGACCAGGGAAGAGCAAGCTGGCGCTGGCACCTGCCTTTGGGCACAAAAATAAAAGAACCCTTTGTGCTTCAGGGAGGGCTTATCTTCTGGGCCGCACAATAGGCTTAGCCCTCTCCGCCCGCCCGATAGGGGTTGCTCTGAGTTTCTGGCTTCGGGACCTTTATGCCCATTTCCGGCCTAGCGGGAGGGTCGGGTTTCCAGTGTCCTGAGTCTCAATAAAGGGGCTTGAAAAGCAGCGGAGAGCGTCCAGGCTTTTCTCTGTGTCCAGTGGCCCCTGCTATTTTTGGTTGGTTTCAGCAGCGTTGCCCATTATCATTAGGACATCTCAGAGTTGAAAAGACCTCAAAGGGCAATTATACTGAGCCACTCATTTAGAAATGTGAAATAAATCCTTAAAAAATATTATTGCTATTTCCGTGGCAGGTACCAGGATTACAGGATTATGTGTACTTACTGAAGCATGGTTTTCGTAGAATTCTCTGAAAACTTAGTATTTTTGAGATAAGAATAGGACTCATTTCTATCAAATATGAGTTAATCAGCCTGTTACTGGTGAAGATTGACCGATGATTTTATCATTATACACACTCCTCACTGTTTAAAAACTATAGTGTTTTAAAAAAATTAATACATGCTGTTTATTAAAGAAAAAATTTTAGAAAATGAAGATAACCAGAAAAGAAAAAGATTAAAATATCAGTAATTGCATTATTTAAAGATAATTTTTAAAGTTTGGTATGTATCCTTTCCTAAATACATCTTTTCAAGTAAGATGAGTGGACCATTCATTGTGTTTTAAAATTGTCTTAAAAATAAAACAAAACAAACAAAAACCACCTTTGAGGACAGAGCAGGTGGGGCATTTGCCTTGCACACGGCTGACCAGGTTTTAGTCCTGGCATTCCATATGGTCCCCAAACCCACCAGGAGTGATCCCTGAGCACAGAACCAGGAGTGAGCTTTGAGTACTGCCAGGTGTGCCTCCCCTCCTAGCAAGACTTGTGAATATTCATATTCATAAAGGTATCTGTACATTACATTTTTTCTTTATTTAACCAATCCTTAGCTGTTTAACTATTGGATGTTTGTTGTTTTTAACTTTTGTATCATAGAAACTTTGCATTAGAGGCCAGAGAGATAGTACAGCAGATGAGATGCTGGCTTTGAACAAGGCAGACCCAGTTCTCTACCCACCCCTCATATGATCCCTCCCACCCAGGCAGTGCAAGAAGTGTTCCGTGAGCACAGCGCCAAGAGTAAACCCCAAGTACAGCCAGGTATAGCCCAACAGCAACAACAAAAAAGTAACACATAGCACGGTCCTCCTGTTGTTCATCGATTTGCTCAAGCGGATGGCAGTAACGTCTCCATTGTGAGACTTGTTACTGTGTTTGGCATATCGAATACGTTCACGGGGAGCTTGCCAGGCTTTGCCGTGTGGGCAGGATACTCTCGGTAGCTTGCCGGGCTCTCCGAGAGGGGCGGAGGAATTGAACCCGGGTCAGCTGCGTGCAAGGCAAACGTAAAAGCAAAAAAAAAAAAAAAAACTTCTGTGAAGATTCAAGATATAAATAAAGATTTCCTTACAAGGGCTAGAGATGGGGTTTAGTGGCAGAGTGCCTGTGTTGCATACACAGAATCTGAGTTTCATCCCCAGCACTACTTTTTTTTTTTTTCTTTTTGGGTCACACCCAGCGATGCTCAGGGGTTATTCCTGGCTCTACACTCAGGAATTACTCCTGGCGGGGCTTGGGGACCATATGGGATGCCGGGGATCGAACCCAGGTCGGCCAGCTGCGTGCAAGGCAAACGCCCTACCCGCTATGCTATCGCTCCGGCCCCACTACAAAAAAAATTTTAATTAAAAAATGATAACCAAAATTTGGAACCAGAAATGTAGGTCAATGATAGAGCACTAGCCTTACTTGTAAGAGATCTGGTCCAATCCCCAGTACCTCTTCACCTGCAAAGAAAAATAATGTGCTAAAGGAAATACTACTGAGAACAGGGGGCTTGCCTATTTTTAGGACCTTTGACTCCGATTACAGTTGGTGTCCTAACCATTTGTGTCCGTATAAATTGTCATTCACAGTGCTGAGCGCACCTGTGCTTTCAGCTGTGGGAATCGTCATGTTTACATTCAGGCTGTCAGCAGTGGTTGGCACAACTTTTTCAGTGACCATTTGTCTTCTTACTCTCTCTCCCCAGCACCCAAGTTCTGAATTACATGTCAGAGTACGTAGGTTTGTTCTTGAAGCATTGCCATTTATTTTCTTCTTCATAATGAAAGCATTCAAGTACGTGTCCCTGATTAGAAGTAGCACAGAGCCTAAAGTGATTTTGGTAAAACTGAAAGACTATGTGCCAGACAGTATAAAACAATGGGAATGTGACTCGTTGTGTTCATTTCCCCAACAGAAACCCTGATGGAGATGTGAGCCCCTGGTGCTATGTGGCTGAGCACGAGGACGGTGTCTATTGGAAGTACTGTGAGATCCCCGCATGCCAGAGTAAGTGGCTGTGCTTCCTCTGCAGGTGTCAGGGCGCCACAGATTGGGACCAGGGAGTGCAGGCAGGTGGGTTGCAGCCAGCAGGTGGAAGGGCACACCATTTTGGGCGGAGGATGTGCCCTTCTCCGTCATTCTGGGTGGAGGATGTGTGCTTCTCACATTGAGGCTTCTCAAAAATGGGAATTCCCAGTATCTTTAGGCACTTCATTTTCATGATGGGTAAGACCCATCAGTTTTTTTTTTTTTTTTGGCTTTTGGGTCACACCCGGAGATTCACAGGGTTTACTCCTGGCTCTGCACTCAGGAATCACCCCTGGCAGTGCTCAGGGGACCATATGGGATGCTGGGAACTGAACCCAGGTCGGCTGCGTGCAAGGCAAACGTCCTGCCCACTGTGCTATCTATCACTCCAGCCCCAACCCATCAGAATTTTAACTTCCTCTTGCTATTCTTTCATGGATGGAGACGGCAACAGCCAAGTATTAGACTAGAGGAAGAGAGTACTTTTTTTTTTTTTAATGAAATTACAATAAAGAATCCCTTTATCAGTAATAAAACTAAGAAATTTCACTACTTTGTTATTTTAATTAGATGCGATATGATAATCGGTATCTAATTAAATACTCTCCCAAGCCAGTGATTGTCCTTTTCCTCACATAGGTATCAAGGTGTTCTTTTATTTTTAGTAATTATAGCTTGTCCCTTCCTACTACTGAAAATTCTAGCTTTGTCAGCCTTTTACCGTTTTCTGTTTCATATATTTATTCCTATAGTCAGTGTTTTACTTACTATCAGCACAGTATGAAGACAGGAGAGCTGGGAAGACTCTTCAAGAGACGGGAGCAAATGCTCTGCTTGCCAGAGTCCTCCATTCAGTCCCTTGTACCGGAGAGTTTCCTCTGACACTTGAGAGTGACCCCAAAATATGACTCTGGAGTAACCCCTCAGCATTAAAGACAGAAAGATAACTGGCCTTCGGGAAACATCTGGTATGGCAGGGACTTAAATCTTTTTTTTTTCCTAAGTAGAAAATATTGTAGAAAGAGTTATAAAACACAGAAACTGAAACTAAACATGGTATTGTATGGTATTTGCTAATGTAATGTTTAAAATATTCTTTTAGATATGACTAAAGAACAGGCTTTCCCAGTTCCTAGAGTTGAAAAAAGGACAGTTCACTCTACTTAGCTTGTTTTTCCTTATTATTTAAGCCTCTCCCTCCCCTTGCTACGGTTCTCCTCTCAGGTTCGGAGCCTGTGTTTGTGGAAGGATGTGGAAGTTCCCGGGGAACTGGAACTCTCTCACTTTACCCATCACAGCAGTCTAAATGCTGATCCCTCCAGGGGCGGAGGCAGCCCTGAAACCAGCTCTGCAGACCCAGAGTTCATCTTTTAATAAACTAAACTGCCCAGTATCCACCCTGCCTGACAGTTAGGCCCTGCCTTTACTCTCCTTCCAACCGGAGTTGTGCCTTGATTCAGTCCCAAAATGGATAAAACGGTACAAACCAGAAGAATGGGCTTTTGCTCAGCCTGCTTAATCAAAATTTTTAAATGAAAAACATCTCATTTGGCTCTAGTTATATAAAGAAAGGGCCGAGAGAGAGAGGGAAGCAGATTTTCCCTGGTCCATTTGTTCCACACAAAGATAGTCTTTTAGTACGAGCCTATGTCACTCTCTCAGGAATGGCAAAGCGGGGATTTATATCTGGGAGCCTTTGTTTGGAAAGGTAATCCCCAACTTGCATTTATAAAAGATAATGTGGGTCAATGGGAGTTGACTTGTGTCAGAGAAATTTGAAGGTTCAGAAGAGAAAATTACAGCAAAACGGCACAAACTACCCTCTGATTTCTCTTATTTGTCAGATGTGCCCCACTGTTCCTAAAAAGGAAAATTGAATATTATTTTCTTCTCTTGTGTTCTTTGGTAACCCTCTCCAAGCTTGAAACAGTCTGGATAGAGAGACTGATAGAAGTTGGGAAGGAGAAGCAAGAAGCACCCACTGTGGGAGTGTGGGGACCGCCTGGCTTTGGTTCTTTGGAAAACCTTCCGTTCATTCTGGGGGCCCCAGGGCTCCTCAAGCTGAGCCTCAAACCTTGAGTTTGGCACCTTAGTTCTAGCTGGTAAAACTCTGGGCTCTTTGCAGCAAGAGATGTTGCTAATTGCCTGGTGGAATCGACTGAGATACAATCTGCCTGTTTTAAGCCAGTCCAAAACTGGCCTATTTCTAGATTTAGAGTCATGTTTTCTTGCATAATACTAACTCTGTGTGAAGCCCACTATTCCTGTTTAGCATTGAACTTATCGTGCAGGAAGAGATTTGTGACATGACCAGTTTCCTGGAAAGTTCAGGTCTGAATATAATAGACCCAGCAGGAATCACGGGAGTATGAATGTTTAGGGATAAAGCAGAATACGGTTGAATGGTGGGTCATTGTGTGGGGACCGGAATCTCTGCCACTCAGTGTGTTATGTAGAAAGCTAAAACAAGAAAGGATGCAGAGATGAAGGGTAATTCAAAAAGGAGCAGAGAATCCACTGCGCTCTTGACCTTGGAAGCATGGATCAGAACTTACTATTAAAAGGAAAATAACCAAGGTCATTGGATTTGCTTTTCAAACTGCTTCTCCTGTATGTTTTGCAGAAGGGTCAAGTCCTTATAGCAGATAGAAGAAATACAGATTTTTTTTGAAGCAAATTTCAGAGCAAGGGATGTGGTCAGTGGTAGAATGCCTGCCTTTCACGTAAGAGGCCACCAGTTTGATCCCAGCATGGTGCTGCTTGCCTAGCAAGAAATCCGTGGCACTGCCATTCACGATTCCCAGCACCCAGCAAAGCATGCATGTGCCACCAAAAAAAGTGTATGACCTAGTCACCGTCCAACAATGAGAAGGAACATGCATATTCATCTGATTCTACAAACCCAGTGACACCAGTTCTTTTCTGAGTTCTTTTGGGAAACAAATGTAGACTAACAAAGTGTTAGATTATATTCAGGAATCATTCTGAATTTTATTAAATACGTAAGGGCATGGTGATTTATCAATAGACCTATCATCTATCTCTAAATTCACTTGAATTACAGATACTGCAATAGCGGTTGTTAAAATTGTACATGGGATTGGCTTCAAAACGAACTGGTTTCCCAATGGAGTGTGTGAGAGCAAGGATAGTGAAATGAAAGTGGGTCTGTGTTTATGCGCCCCTTGACAACTGAGCATCTCCCAGGCAAACTTTAAAGGATATACAGTGGGGCTGGAGCGTTAGCACAGCAGGAGGGCATTTGCCTTGCACGCGGCCGACCCGGGTTCAATTCCCAGCATCCCATATGGTCCCCTGAGCACCGCCAGGAGTAACTCCTGAGTGCTTTGAACATGGCTGACCCAAGTTTGATCCCTGGGATACCATATGGTCCCCTGAGCCTGCCAGAAGTGATCCTTGAGCACAGCTGGGTGTGGCCCAAAATTAAATAAAGGATATACAGGCACTTGGAATCTTGTTAAAGTGCATTTTTTGATTTAGTTAGTCTGGAAAAGACTGGAAGCTCTGCACTTCTCCCAAGCCTCTGGGCATGCTGGGCCATACTTTGAGTAGCCAGATTCTAGAAGTGAGGACTGCGTGGAGTCAGGAGTCAGTTTGGGGGAAGGGCTCAGTATGCAACACACAAACTGGTGAATCCTGACAGTTAGTGTTGTTGAGACAGAAACCAGGTAATGGATGGTCTTGTGGGCTGCAGACAGAGTGGCATGTTAGATCGATTGCAGTCTGTGACTTCATATTCCTTTCATTAAAGAATACCCTGACTTTTTAAAAACATATTTGCTGTTTCTTACACAAATGTAACCCAAAAAGCCTAGCAAGATTTGAAAGTATCTGATTCGATCCTTAATAAAAATTTTTAGATCTATTTTCTGTTTGAGAAGAAAGCCAAGGTAATTTTGAAATGGTGTTTAAAAAGTCTTAATTAGGACCAGAGTGATAGTACAGTGGGTAGTGTGCTTGCCTTGTACACAGACGACCCAGCTTCAGTTCCCAGCAACATATGTGGTTTTCTGAGTCCCATCAAGAGTGATCCCTGAGTGCAGAGCCAGGTGGTCCACAAAGAAACCAAACAAAAACCAAATTTTTTAAATAGTCTGGATTATACAAAATGTTTTACTTCTGCCAATAATTTTATATTTTAATGTCAGGTCTGATATTTAGTATGTTTTAAATTTTTATTTCCTCTATTATTGAGTAGCTAGTATGTACTAATATGTGTATTCATATTATTTAACCTTTCAACAATCATATGAAGCAAGTGGTATTATCACTTCTTAGTCCCACCACTCATTACATAATAAAAAAATGAGTCTCAATTTGGTTTAATAAGATTTTATACTCTGAACTAAATGAGATATGAATCTAGAACCCCTAATGTAATACCAGTGCCCTTTCTTTCCAGTATTTGAGGACAGTTCCCTTTTCTTTATTTCCTTGAAAACAGGAGTCCTGGGAATCATCCAGGCCACTGTTGAGGTCATTCTTGAAAATTTTCTTTGTGGATTGTTTGGGAATTAGAGTTTGAAATTCTGATAGTATGCTGAATTATTAAGATTGCCTTTTTAACATTGTGGAAGCCAAAAGGATTAACTTGGTGGCGACAGAGGGTCTGCAGTTCAAGCTGTTGGCCCTAAGTCATTTGCTTTTCTTTTTTGGGTTTGGGAAATCCCAGACTCCAGGAGGAAAGCAGGCGAGATGGTATCCAGGAAGCATTTGATACACCACGGCTTCGCTCTGTAGAAGGCTGGGCCATTTCCACAGTGTTCCCAGCCCAGCTGTTTTCAGCTGGAAAGAGTCTTCTCAGAGTTGAACTCTGCATAAAACATGGCATCAGCAGCTTTAGCCAGGCCTCTGGGTCATGTCTGCATGCATGCCATGGGCAGAAGTTCACCTCAAAAAAGGTAACATCACTGTGCATCACTTACACTTAAAACTAAAATGAAACATCAAATTTTAGT